ATAAACACTCACCAATTGATATATATATATATATATATATATATATATATATATATATATATATATGGGCGATATATATACACATATATATATATATATATATATTCATGCATATATATATATATATATATATATATATATATATATATATATATATATATATATATATATATATATATATGAATATATATATATATATATATATATATATATATATACATGCATATGATATATATATATTATGTATATATATATATATATATATATATATATATATATATATGAAACATATCTATCTATCTATCTATCTATCTTCAGCAGTTCGTCTTTATTCCAAAAAGAGGTACGTATCAGTGCTCGAGCCCAGTTAAAAAGCTATGGACTCGAAAGGTTTTACTGATTTTCATGTCAGCCAGATGATACAAAACAATTATGTTTTCCCCTCTATTTATATCTTTTATTAAAGACACTTTCTCCATCTTTCAGTTCAACTCTCTTTTTCTCTTCATATACATATATATATATATATATATATATATATATATATATATATAGATAGATAGATGTGTGTGTGTGGATGTGTGTGCGTGCGTGCGCGTGTGTGTGTGCGTGTGTGTATGTTTATATATTGTCCTGAGCGTCACGTGCATGCAGCTTAGAGTTGCACCCAACGGCCTGGAATAAATGTATGTTTATTCTGAGTATGAATTTTATTTTACATTTTGCACCGTTTTATTACATCACAGCACTCACTGTGCTCATTATTTAAAATACTTCTAGTTGTTATATCTCGTAAATATATATATATATTAGTATGTATATATATATATATATATATATATATTAAATGTATGTATATGTAAATATATATATATATAGTATGTATATATAAATGTATGTATATGTCAGTGTGTATATATATATATATATATATATATATATATATATATATATATATATATATATATATATACATATTAGTATGTATATAAATGTATGTATATGTCAGTGTGTGCGCATATATATATATATATATATATATATATATATATGTATATATGCGCGCATACTGACATATACATACCTTTATATATATATACAGGGTTCGATGGATAAATTTGATCTAAATGACGCAAAAAAGAAAATGACACTGACATCTCATTTTATCAGACATATTTACCAAAATGACAAAAATATCTTGAAATACTAATCAGTAAATTTATTCAATAAAATCGCCATTGGCTTCAACCACGCCCTTCAGATGACTTCGGAATCACTTGCACCTCTACTGCATATTCTTCTTGTTTAAGATGTTGAATGCTGTAATAATCCTTGCCGTCAGTACATCTTTGGTGTTACAAGGTGTTTTGTTAGTCTCTCACTGAACTGCACCCCTCACAAAATGGGTTCTCCTGCTTGTGGTTCAGAGCCCTGTTGCCAAACACAGAGTCTTCCAGCAGCCACCCTCTTGACCCAAGGCAGAACTATCTCTACAAAGCACTTGATGTAGACCTCTGTGTTGTGTCTGAGGCCCTCACCAAGAAATTCGGGATTTCTTTTATTATCCAAACGAACAGAATGAGTTTTCCGAGTTGCCGTACCTTCGTAATCACCATTAGACTCAGCCATCTCTTTCCGTATCCTTTGCTCTGTCCTCAGATTGACACCTAAATAAGTTGAAGTATGCCGTTTCGAAATTTCTAGCGGAGTGAATTGCGTCATGGTGTTCTTTTTCTCGGAGACCAAATGACCCTACTAAACTGGGAAGTTGACAAAATCAAAAACAAACAAACAACGAAATTAAAGATATAAAATGGCGACAATATAGCCATCGCAACTCTGTATACATATATATATATATATGTGTGTGTGTGTGTGTGTGTGTGTGTGTGTGTGTGTGTGTGTGTGTTTGTGTGTGTGTGTAATTCCAGGATCATTTTCGAACATATTCAAGATGATCTTCGCCCTCTCTAACTTTCGAACTTTTCTATCCTAAAGTAACAAGGTGCTCACAGGTTTCACATACGATTTTCATTTTCAAGTCTTTACACTGCTCTTTGGACTGCAGTAGCTATCACAAGCCAAACGTATTATGGACTGGGATCTTTTCTAATTGATCGTTTAAGCTCTATGTCGAAATGATGATCCCACTTCCTATTGTGACATCTTGATCCAGTTTTCCACTTTACCGTTTCCAGTTTTTTTAAATTTATTCACCGTTCTCTTGATGGTTTTTTAATGGACTTTGAAGATGGAGGTCATAGTATGAATGCTGCTACCATTACTGAAGGCCTGAATGATCTTTTTCCTCTCACTATTGCTCAGTTGGGAAGACAAAATTTTAACCTGTTGTCTTTCTAGCTGAATAACTCAAAGGGTTTTCCACTGATTCTTACCACACATGGTGTCAAGATGTCTAAACATCTTATCTAAAAACCCGGAAAAAAGAAACTCAGAATAAAGTGATTTTTTTTTTTTTTTAGATATTAAACATTTTGTGTGATGCTGTTACACGATTTGGACAATTTTGCTGTTACACCCGTTATATATATATATATATATATATATATATATATATATATGAAGAAAAATTTGGAAAAAACAAACAAAAATCCTTAAATGCAATTATGTTATTTAAAATGAATGAAATGTCGACGTCTGACGTTTCGGTTTAATAAACCTTCTTCAGGACAATATTCATTAAAATACAAGTCAGTTCAATTTGACAAAGACGATGGACATAAAATTCTGTCGGATCTATATCCATTTACATTTGCTTACATAAATATATATATATATATATATATATATATATATATATATATATATATATATATAATTATTTATTTATTTCAAAAAAATTCGCTTGAAGATGGAACAGAGCTTACTTTAACTCAATTTAATTCAAATAATTATATTGAAGTTTTCGGCTCTTGTTTTGAAAACATGAGACCTCTTATGTCGCGAGTTGGAATCATATTTTTAAATATTAAATAATTATATATATATATATATATATAATACTTTTTTACGCATAACCGACTAATTCTGTTAGTTTTTTGCACGTTAATATATGCAGTCGGTACCGGTCTTTTCGGTCTATGACCATCTATACTCCCTCGATTAACACAATATTTTATAACAATAATAATATTAATAATATATGTGTGTGTGTGTGTTCTCTTGCGCGAATGTACGCTTATTTTAAGAGCATGACTTTTTCAACTGTGTAAAAAGTCCTTTATTCACAA